GGAGGCCTTTGAATTATGGTGCTGGAGAAGACTCCTGCGAGTCCCTTGAACTGCAAGGTGATCAAACCGGTCAGTTCTAGAAGAGATCAATCCTGATGGTTCTTTAGAAGATCCTGAAGATGAAACTTAAATACTTTGGCCACCTAATGAGGAAGAAGGACTCACTGGAGAAGAGCCTAATGCTGGGAAAGATGGAGGGCAAAAGAAGAATGGGATGACAGAAAATGAGGTGGCTGGAGGGAGTCACCGAAGCAGTAGGCATCAGCTTAAATGGACTCCAGGGGATGGTAGAGGACAGGAAGGCCTGGAGGAACGTTAATCTCCATTAAGATGGAATTTCAGGTAAACTTCGCTTGTCAACCATCTTGTTTAGCAACTTGTCAAAGTTATGATGGCAGTGAAAAATTACCTTTTTAACCAGTCATTGCATTTATGACCTGCACCGTGTCTCTATGATCTTATAAATGCCATTTGTATGCTTTGCAACTATCATTCAACAACCAGAATGTAGAAGGTAGCAGTAAAATTGGAAATTATGATCACATAAGGTCTCATTTAATTATTGCAGCAGGTCTTAACTCCATTATGGTTATGCAATATTGACCATGATTCTTAACACTGGAGTTGCCTGTTCCCATTGTGGTTGCTAAGCAAGGACTGCCTCCATATAATTTAGATACCATTATGAAGAATGCTACTTTATAAAAGCAATGAAAAAGACAGAACCAGAGGAACATGTAATCTACAGTTTATCTGTTTATCTTATACTTGACCTCTGTGGATAGATGAAATGATTAGTGTTGTGGGATTCTTAAAAATCTTGAGTTATTAATTTGCAGGAAGATGTGTGTATATTGCCATAGCAACCAGCTCTTCAGATTTTCCTTGAAATTACATCTCATAAATGTCTCTTAAACTGAAATGTAATGTGTAAAATGCCAATTAGGGGGAAATGTACTGTACTTATTAAAATGATAAGCAGCAGTTGTGAGGTAAAGATTATTCTGCAGGAAAACAACAGGGTAACTCTTGATTTCGAAATTAGGTTTCATAATCTAAGATTTGCTGTGGTTGCTTCTACAGAGGTGCTATAACCAACCTATGATGATTTCCTAATATTTTGGCAATTACCACTGGCTATAATGATATTGTGAAAGTTGATCAACATTTGTTAGGCATTTTGTCATGTGTTTAGCTAAGCGAAATAATATGAATGATAGGATTATATATTTTTTTAATCACAGAAGCCTCTTTATGAAAGGGAGCTGTTTACAAAGGAGGTGAATCTGTAGAATATTTATCTCATCACTGAATATTGGTTCAGGGCATATGATCTAATTATCTCACTACTGAATACAAGGGCATATGATCCATTCTCCCAAATTAAATTGCTATGTTCCTTCAATATTCTGCTCCCTCCACTATTTTTATGATGCATTTTTGTTGGATTTTTGTACCCTACCAAGTATTTTTTCCCTCTGGCGATATAATCATGACTCCAAAGTTGTTTTTGTTGTTTGAAGTGGTGGTTTACTCTGTAGTCTCAATTGCTTCCTACATAAACTAAGACAAATTTGGAGAAATTTGGGAGATATGGTCCAATATCTGATCTAAATAGCAGCTTTGGGAACAACGACCAGTAATCGAACTTCTCATTGGTGGCTCCCAAGATTGCAAATCACCACAATCACATTCTGATGGCCTGTTAAACCACATTGTGGTCTGGGTTATTGGGTGGATCCCTCAAAATTAAATGTCAATAATAAAGAACTTTAACTTTTCCCACGTTTTCAAAACAACCCAAATCAATCTTGTTTGACCAGGACATACTTAAACTAGCTCATTACATAAATCAATGCTTCTCAACCACAGCAACTTCAATATGTGTGGACTTTTAGCTTCCCATCATTCTGGCTGAGCAAATTTTGAGAGCTGCAGTCCACATACAGTATTCTAAAGTGACTGAAGTTGACAAAAACTAGCATAAACCATAAGACAAACTAAATCTCAAGCTAAACATGTTTTAGGGGGGAAAAAAACCTCTTTTAGTGCATGCATGTATGTCTATGTGCATTGGTTGGAAATCCCAAAGGTGTTTTTTCCGTGAAGATGTTTTGCTTCTCAACCAAGTAGCTTCTTCTCAGTCAGAACTGAAGAAGCTTCTTGGGTGAAAAGCGAAACATCTTCAAGGAGAAAACAAAGTCCAGTTGCCTGTTGAAAAAGTACCTTTGGGACAACCATGACCTGGATGACTGAGATTCTCCACAGACATTGATTGGAAATGGCACGTTTGCTGCCCACTACTGACCCTGCTCACACTTTATGCAATAGAGGCAGGATTGTTGTCCCAGAGAACAATATTCTTGTAAGGTACACTAAAAGTAAAGTCATGTTTCCCCCCCCCCCCACGAGCAGACCGAATGGAACCGGCTGCTTAGTGAAAGCCTTCACAATTACAATAGTGTTTACATCTAGGCAGTAATCGGGGTAACAAGTGTACAACTTGTACTTGTTATACTCTTATGAACTACACTTGCATATCAGTCGCATACTGTTTTGCACTGAAGTACATTCCTCGGATGTCATCGCTCCATCAAAGGAACGAATAATAATAATAATATGACCAAGGCAATGTCAGGGGAAGAATCACGAGATGCTTTTAATTTCAGAACGATGCAGCGGGAAGCGGAACGTTCTCGCTTACACGCCTCTCTTTAGAAAAGCAACTTGTTTGTGACGTTAAGGGCAGGACGCAGCAGCAGGCAAAACGCGCCCCCCTCCCCTCCCCTCCCCTTTTCTTTAGCCGACCGGTTCGCGACTCCCAACTTTCATCCCTCTCGGAGGTTATGAAACGCACTTCGCTACGTCTATTTCGCAGTGGGGGCCGGCCGAAGCTGGCAGCCAATCGGCTGGCTCTCCGACGCCATCACCCGGGGCTGCTCCCGATTTTATGTAATATTCCGGCGGGTGGTGGTGGCGGGGATAATTTACGCGCGTGTGTGTGCTTGTCTGTATGTAGAAGGTCATCAGAGCAATCCGGTAGCTGAAGACCGAGCCGGCGTAAATAAGACGATACTGCGCGGAGGCGGAAAAGTTACTGGTTTGGGGGGCCTCCTCTTCCTCCTTTTATTCGTCCCACGCCGAGACACCTTCCCCTCCCCCTCCGCCCCGCCTCCTAGTCGCTAACTAGAAAAACGATGCCGTCTCCTCCTGCCCAGGCTGAGTGATCGCCTCGGGCGGCAGGAAGGGACCCACCACCCTCGGGGATCAAGTCTTCTCCAGCGGCTGCCCATTGACTGAGTGATTGTCGCAAGGGCCCCGTTGAGTTTCAAGAGTTAATAAGCCTTGGGGGAAACCAGAGTGCGCTTAGATGCTCAGGCGGAGAGGGCACCGGGGTCTTTAAAAAAAAGATGTAGCGGTCGATTTTGCATGGCAAAGAAGCCCTGGTGAGAGAGAAAGCAGCTCTTTTCCTTTAGAAATTGAAGAATTCCTCCAAGGGAACTGCAAGAGAAGTTTGTGACTTGAAGAGCCGGCGATTTGCTCCGTCTTGGCTGGTTGGATAGGAGGGAGGGGAATGTAGTTCAAGGTTTGCCAAAGTGTCCCAGTGGCTCTTTCGGCCGCTTTTCTTTGCTGCTCTTAGGAAGCCGTCGACCTTTGCCCGGTGCCCTCCTGACTCCTCGTTCACGTCCCCCTCCCCTCTGGCAGAGCAGAAGCATGGAGCTTTTCCTCTGTCCCTCCTGTCGCCTGGTTCTCTGGGACCCGGTGACGGTCTCCTGCGGCCATTCTTTCTGCAGGAGATGCCTGGGCGAAACCTTGCCTTCCGAGTGCTGCCTCTGCGGGGAGAACCTCGGCCTCCTGGGCTCGCGGACGCCCAGCTCGAACGTCCTAATCGGGAACCTACTAGAAAAGGGCTTGGATACCGCCGCCAAGGTGGCCCGGTTGAAAAGGGACCTGCGGGAGCTGGTGAGCAACGGGGACTTCCAGGAAGCGCTGAGGACGCTTCAGAAGGGAATCGGCTTGGGTAAGGTTTGCGCGGTATCCAGAGGTTGCGACGACGGGGGCGAAGGGGAAGGGAGGCTGGGTGATATGCGCGGGACTGACCGCCAGGTGCTGCCCTGGTTATACAACTTGCCACCATCTCGCTGGCTGCGTTGTATAAGCAGGGGAGGGACAATTCTTGGTAGCCCTTTTCACTAACTTCAGCTATGGCTTTCCTTTTCCTTAAAAGGCTAGTGATTTTATGGTCATATAAATGTTTGGGTCTACAGTATTTCCTATTGGTGCCTTGCTGATTTCCTTCTCTTTTAAGTTAAAATAAAAGGCTTACTGCTTGTAGTTCGTTTCTGTTGCAGATTTGGTTCACAGAGGTGAAACCTAATGCTGCAAAGTGGTAATGGTCACATCAGAAAATTAAATGTAAATCTAAAGTGTGTGTGAGGATAGGACTGTTGTTTTGGAGTTATTCCTTAGGGGGCCTTTTAAAAAATCGAGTTATGTAGCTTGCTGACCTCCTTGGAGGCTGTGGGACCATCTTCAACTGTTCATGGAGGGCAAGAATAAAATAGAGCAGATCTTTATAATATTTCAGTGTCATTTAGGTAATTTAAGGGTTTGAAAGTATTTCTGAAGTAACAACTATGAGCAGTTGTGACCTTTCTTAAATTATGTGGGAATCTTAACCCTTCAGAGCACTATTTTTCAGTGTTGGAATGGTTATTTTATGCTGCATGGAGTCTTTATTTCTTTACCATTTACTGAAGAGGCAGACATTCAACAGATGCTGCTTTCCTATTATGGTGATGTTATGATGATAAATATACCAAATTTCTTTTAACATACTTTTATTAAACACTTAGTGTCTTTGTTAGGAGGGAAAAGATGTTATTACCTAGAATTAATAATCTCATTTCATTTTTAATCTTAAAACTTACATTAAAATCAGCTTTGGAACTGGTAAGCTGATGCTACTTAAACCTTAGGATTTAGGAATGAGTAATTAGGACTCAAGCTTCCTTTACTGTTTCAGACTTTGCTGTGTGTGGAAGCTGACACACCCCTCTCATATATAGTGCTGTTATAAAATGCTAGCTCTTGTTTTGCAATGAGTCAGACACAAGTGTCAGTATGTTTCAATCAACAAGTGAGTTTATACTGGAATATTTTCATCTACCCTGAATATTTTTTTTACTTCAATTGGAGGATTCCTTTAATTAATAGGGATAGAACTCAAATCTAGTGGCTCTTGAATTTAATCCAGGTGAATTTATAACATGGACTGTTAAAGAGCTAATAGATTGAGCAATATTAAACAATGCTTTGGCATTTCAGCTTTTTACCATTTATATTATACTTTTTTTAATAAACACCAAAGCCGATGAGTTGAAAATGTGCTATCAAATTAATCTAGTATTTAGCATTTTTTAAAAAAACACTTTTTTTTAACTTCAACTGATCCATGAAAATGTTTTTTTGTTTAGATTAAGAATGTTTATAACATTTTATTATCCAAATTCTGAAATACTGTGGTATGGGGTGCTAATACATTCTAAAACCAGACTTTACCTATTACCATTTATAACTATAGATAAACTTTAATCCTGAGTAAATCCTGCTCATTTTGTATTGATTGACACATAGACCTTTTTCAATTCTTTTAATTGAAAATATAGAAAGTGATAATATAAGAAAGATTTTGGATGGTAATCATCAATCATCAATGAAAGTTTAATTATTTAAACTGTTTATCTTCTCTACTAAATTCTTGTTTAAGGTGATGATAAAAGTTTGCTAAAATCTAGTCAACTGCGATTTTCTACTTTTCCTCACCAATGGGTCTTACCTTAATATCCTTTATATGTTGCTAGATAGGGGAAAAAAATCAAGAAATTTTGGACTTAGTTGTGGTCATAAGTCGAGGACTACCTGTAAAGGGTTGTAAAAAGAAAAAAAAATACTACTAGAGTATGAGATCCTTAACAGGTGACAGCTAGCAGACTGAATTGTCTCTTATTCTTTATTCTTCATTCTCTTAATATCTCTGCATTGGAAACTTCTTTGATGGGGACTTTCTGCCATTGAAAAACTTTTTAATTCTGGAAATCTAGTCAGTGGATGAAGCGAGTTCTCTCTTACCATTCACTCCTATCACCCCCCATCCTCAAATGATGCAAGTATCATTGTATATTTTCAACTAAAAAACAATAGATCTTTTCCTTAAAGCACAAAATCGTTTTTTGACAGTATCAGAATAAGCTACGTTCGGATGATTTGATCTTCCCTTTTAACTGATGGATAATACTTGAGGCCATCCTTCTTGTCAATAATGTACAATTAGTGACTTAAAAAAAATCTGGCTAAACTTATTGGAAACGAACACAGCTCATTCTAGTCAGTAAGTCCCTTTCTTGGAGATTTTCTTATAGTGCCTTGATGTGTATAAGTGTACAACGTTTGTTTTTATTATTTCTTATTTCAACAGTGAAATGTTCTGCTTCCTCCTATAGCTCCGGATGATCTTACATTAAGGGTGTGCAGATCAGAGCTCTATGTGGCTTTACAGGAGTATGAAGGGGCTCTGGAGGATTTGGAGATTCTATGCAAGCAGAAGCCAGAAGAATGTGAAGTGAGTCGAGTGTAAAGCTGGGTGTTGTGATCCAGAACAAGCATGTGTTCTTCCCAACTTTTTTTAAGTGGTGAGATGAAATGGCTTTTCTGGAAAAGGCTGCATTTGAACTCAGTTGTAATAATAGCATAGAAAGTGAACATATTCTTTCATATAGTTGCTTATTTAAATACAAGGTAGTGCTTTCCCTGGTTCTGTACAAGCCAATGCTGACTCATATGCTCTAATAGAATGATTAAAAAAACCATTCTCCTGGTAAAATGCACCAAAAGAAAAACTTGAATTACTTCTGGAAGGTTCACAAACTTTATCTAAACTTTCTCTTGTAGTCAAAGATAAATGTACCAATGTTCCAATCAATGCCCAATTTGCAGTCTGGAGAATTTCTAGGAACTATTGAATGTTTGAAATTGGATAGCGGAAAACCAGGGAGGTCTTAGTGAATTTTACAGGACTGCTTTGTAAAAATTTCCCTACGTTTGTCCATATCAGGCTTCCTGACAATAAATTTCTCCAGAAAAATTAGACAATAGAGGTTCTTTACTATTTGGATAAATTTGAAAGAATTGGTGATTGGAGTTTTCACATCCAATCAGCATAATATTCTAAAAGACAAGGGCTAGTGAGCTATGCAAAAAATTCCCACTCTGTATGTGTACGGGGAGTGATAAGATCTGTATGGTGACATCATGATTGGGGAAGCAAATCTCTAGCCCAACCAGTTCTGACAGATGCCAGTTTACTTTGAAGAAACAAATACTGGATGACTGATTTATTGTGGCTTATCCCTCAGTCTGTATCTATGCTAGGCTTGAATATAGCCTGGAGAGCTCAATCAGAGAATTTTAAATCTTTATTTACATAGAGTTCGAACCAACACTTCTCATCTCTGCTGACAATCCCCCCCCCCTTTGCAGTTCCCCAATATCTATATCATTAATTAATTCCATCTCACAATAGGGCCTTTTACTTTGGCATGTATTGTATAGATGCTCTCCCTACAATGACACTTGTGGGTAAATATAATAGTATTTAGAGGTTTAGAGGTTTATTGGGATTTATATGCCGCCCTTTTCCCTGAGGGGACTCAGGGCGGCTT